CAGACCCTGGGGACGGGACACTCAGAAAGATGCTGGCCCCTTCTTTGGTGTATGGATTCAGTGGGGAGGTTGGTGGTGAAACTGGCAGGCTTGCGTGTACCAAGCTGTGGCACACACGTGAGACCACACACACAGGTGGTGTGAGTGCTGTGTGCTCGGTGGCGGTCTTGGTTCCTGCCCTGCCAGGTGCCACCTGCGGCCACAGGGGCAGCCAGAGGACGTGCTGAGCTGTGGTCACCATCTGGCCTCAGGCTGAGGTCCTTGCCCTTATCTGCAGCACAGCCCTGGACTGTGCTCTGGGACCAACTGAGGCCTTGTCAAGGGCTTCACCCTCCGCGCCTCTCTTGCCCTGTTTTAGCACAATAGCTGCTAAGCAATGGGCCCAGCTCTCCACCCTCGATGCCACTTCCTCAGCGGGCCTTGATCAGTGAATTCTGCTTGGCACTTTAGATTTTTTCTTGGCACTCTGTGCCCTGTCTCCTCTGTTTCTCAGGAACCACAATTCTGGCTCAGTGGCCTGCCTGTGTCTCACCACCGGCCAGCTGCCTGCCTCTCTCCTCCCTGGGACTCCATCTCCTCGTCTGTGTATGGGTTTGGGGTAATCACACCAACAGCAGGAATCACGGTATTTCCCAGTTATTCCCAGTTATTGTTGAGCATAAACTGCCGGCAGCCCTACAGAAGACCCAGAGCACCTGGATTCAAATCCTGCCTTCGTCATTCTGTCAGACATTTCATGTGTCTGTCAATCATCAGAGCCTCAGTTTCCTCATTGCATACGGGAATAACAGCCCTTGGTGGTGGAGCTGTTAGGACATTTCAATGCAGTGAGAATGCTGAGACTCGGCAGCTGCCATGGCATGCAGGGGGCACGTGACACCCCTTTGCTGGCTTTCCCTTTCCATTATACTATGGGACACCCCCTGAAAACAAGGTCCCCGAGTGCCGCCACCTGTACCCCTCTCACCCCACGGTCTCCCTCCCCTCCCCTAAGGAGAGTCTGGAATGGTAGGTGTCGGGAGAGCATCACGTGGTCCCCTGCCTGCAACTCCTGCTCCCACACCATCCATCAACCCCTGCCAGGGAGGAACCTTCGAGAAGGTCAGATGCTGAGTTTCCAAGGAGGTGGCCCTCAGGTGGCTGCCGTGCCGCTCCTCATCTGTCTTGGCCATAAAGCCTGTCCCAAAGGTTCAAACCCTTTCTTCCCGGGCTCAGGATTCAGGGGACCCCTGGGAAGGCTGCTTTTGAGGCCGTTGCAAAGCATATTTAAAGAGTATGCTATGGCCTGAATCCTGTCACCATGACAAGGCCCAGAATTAAAGAAGTGCCCAGAAAGTAACAATAGTGTTTTTACGAGAAGCACACAGGAAAGACGGGGATGATAGCGGGGCGTTGCCTGAGGCCAACCAAGCCAGAAGCTGTGCTAGAAAAACATCTGCTGCCATGGTTTGCCATGGTTGAACCTGGTGGTGCAGGAACTCACCCTTTCCATTTCATAGGTGAGGTGGCTGAGGCTCAGAAAGGCCCCAAGCTGCCCCAGTTTTAAGGAACAGAATTTGGGGTCTAGAAGAGGGCTCATCCCAAGCCCTGGTATTAGGCGTGGCCAAGGCATGAATCCTGGTCAGTTGGGGCTGGGCGGTGTCCATGCCAGAGCAGGGCAGCCAGGCAGCCCTTTACTGCAGCCTCCCCAGCCTCCAGACAGGACGCTGTGTCCCAGACTGAGGGTCCCAGACTGCCCCCATGGTCCCAGGGTCCCAGACCGCCCCCAGCAGCCGGGCTGGATTGCTGCAGGGGACCACAGGCGAGACATTCTTTCTGCCCAGCGATGGGTCTGGGGTAGACAGAACTCCTCAGGTGAAATGTCAAATAACCGATTTGTTTAATTCAAATGTTATTTAACTCAAATGTTATTATTTGACATTTAACTCAAATAATATTTAACATTTAACTCAAATGTTAACTGTCATTTGTCTGTTGTTAACTCAACCCACTACAGCGATCACCTACCTAACTGTCCATGGGTTGGCCTGGATTTTGCAAGGAAGCAGCTTTACTTTTAGCCACCACACGCCAGTCTTCCCTCATACCAAAACACATTTTTGGACATTGCCAGTTGTCCCTGGGGGAGGGTGGGACTGGGATACAGGGCATATGTACGAGCGCCACTCTGTGCACAGACGCTGTGTTTACCAGCAAGTAAACCAGCTGGTAAACACAGCAAGGCATAGAGATGGCACCTTGGTATCTGCACTGTCCAGAATGGCAGTCACGAAGCCAGTGGGGGTCACCGAGCACTTTCAATGTGCCGGTGTGACTGAGGAACTGAATTTTCAAATGCATTTTATTTCAACTAGTTTAAAGTCAACAATGAAAGCAGTTGCTATCTTTTTAAGAGATTTCATTTTAGCTGTTTAAAATGTAGCATCTGGCATTGAGAAATGCTGCACGTAGAACATTTATCCCAGATTTCAAAGACTTAGTGCAGAAAAGGGCAATATAAATAGCTTTCATTCGTGTATTAAAATATTAGTTACATGTTCAAGTGCTAATACTCTATCTAGAGTAAATTAAATCTATTATTAAAATCAATTCCACCTCTTATTTTGGCTAAAAGTGTTACAATTATAAGCATGGCTCAAATTGTATGTTTCATGAACAGTGCGAATCTGGGGTTTCAGCAGGGGGTGGGGGGGATTTTGCCCCTCAGGGGACATTTATCAGGGGCTGGAGATATACTTGGTTGTCATAACTGGGGGGTGAGAAGCTTCTGGCATCTAAAGGGTAGAGGCCAGGGATGCTGCTAAACATCCTCCGGTGGAAGGTGCCCCCTGCCAACCCAAAGAGCATGATCTATCCCCAGGTGTTACCAGGGCTGACCTGCTTTGGAGCATGAATTCCTTAAGGAGAGGCCAGTAAGCCAGTGATACCTGAGGAACAGGCTGGGGTCAGCTGAGCAAGGCATTAAAGCTGTCACCACACTTAAGTCTCACATGCGGCTACGGCCACAAGGCCATGACCGCAGTGTCTCCAGACCAAGAGAATGAGGCCTAGAGCACAGGACAAACTCGCCCAGAGGCTCTGCCCCAGAGTGTGCCAGGGCTGAGGGCCGGGCCTGGCCGGAGTCCCTTGCAGTGGCCTCACGCTGTCCCGCCACACCATGAGGGCTGCAGCTCCTCCCTTGTGCCTGTAGGAAAGACGCCGGCTCAGCTGGGGACATCGCCATCACTCAGCAGGGCACAGTTATTATTTACCTCGGCCATTACTGCTACGAGGAGATGAGCATGAACAAAAAACACCCTTTGCCAGGGACAGCCTGCATCAAGAGAAACACTCGCAGGCACCTCACCCATCACACAAGGCTGAGAGGCAGAAATAAGTGGGCCACAGTGAAATAAACCTGTCAGAGCAGGGGCTTGCGGATGCCTCCAACCGCAAGAGGGAAGAACCAATGGGCCTGATGCGGGCCTGAAGAAAACGCCGCCCAGGCTGCTCCACCTCAACAGAGGCCAGAGCAAGGGCCCTGCAGAAGTGGAGGTCGATGCTCCGGAGCTCGGGCCTGAGCACAGGAGCGAGCGTCCGTTTTCTCGCCCCAGGGCCAGACACCTGCCTGGTCTGCACCTGCCTCCTGCAGAAGGAAGGTCGAGGCGGATGGGCCTGGGACGGGGCGGGGGACTGACGTTTGCTAAAGGTCCATAGGATGTGCTGCTACCGAACAGGGCGCCATACGGGGTCGCCTAAGACCATATTTCATGGACTCCCAAGCTCCTGTGGCCATCAGGCCTTCCAGTAAGGCTGTGCACATGCAGACGTGCAGATGGCTGTAAGCAGGGGGATTGCAAGGAGCTATCCTGGGGTGCTGGTAGTCACACTGGGCTACGGAGTGGACGGGGCACAGCTGGCTGCAGTGAATGCTGTGGAGGCCCTGCCCAGATCTGCACAGGCAGATGCACCTCACCTCCTGGGGGTGCCGGCTGCGAATGGCTAAGGATGAGGCCTTCCCTGCAGGAGTGTCATCGGCAAAGGCGGTCACCTCCCAGGATACTGGCACGATCTAGGGAGGCCAGCCCCAGACCTTCATTAACAGTGCTGTTTCTGAGTCTAGGCAAAAGGGTGGATGGGAGAGGACTGTGACCGGACTTGAGTCATCCCTGCTTCTGCACCCCCTTCCCCACCATGCGCAAGTGACCAGTCTGGCGCTAGCAGAGAGGAGGCCACTGTCTGAGCAACGACTTTCAGAGCAGTGATAGTTAAAGATCTGAGATCTCCAAGAAACCTGCCTGGAGCCAGAAACGACCCATAACAGAAGGGGCTCTCGAGGGCTCCTGGTCAGCATCAGCCTCAGCACAGACGGAAGGGGCTGGCATTTAGGTAGGCCTGGGCTCTCCAGCACCAGCCTTCCCCCTTAGAATGCACCTCCTGGACTGTACAGCCTATGAGCAGGTGGTGTCCCTTAAGAGTTGGGTGTTCTTATTCCCCCTGAGACAGGGGGCTGGGGTCAGCATGTCTAAAGCGCTTGTCCAGGACAAGCTCCCAGCCAGACCTCCTAATTTCCCATGCATGGGTATGGGGTGGCTTCTTCCCCAGACCACAGCTCAGGGGCGCCTTCCCCAGGAAGCACCCCTGAGCTCCTGGTGTATTTGCTTCCTTACTTGGGGCACCACACCCCTCCCTGCTGTGATACTGCTCACAGGGGCAGGTGGGTGGTTTTGAGGGCTGACTCTTGCGCCTCCCAGAATGGCAAGGAACATGGCTTCCTTTGCTCTCTGTCGTATCCGTGAGGGTCTAGTACAGGGACTGGCACATAGTAGGTACATGTAAGCATCAGGAGAATGGGTGAGTGGGCAGATGACTGGAGGGCTGGCGGGCGAGGAGGGGGATGGGTGGGTCAATGGGTGAGGTGGAGGGACTATCAGTTCCTCTCGGGGGCACCTGGCCAGAGGACCCGCTGAGCCTGGGTGGCTCTCATGCCCCTCCCACCCGCCCAGGTCTCTGGTGATCACCTGTGGTGAGGAGGCAGAGTGGAGTCCCCGGGGTCACCTGGGCGCTGCCCATTGGTGCTGACCACAAGGAAGCCAGTCCCCAGGCAGCATGCAGAAGAGAAGAAGAGAAAGAAACACATGAAAACGTGCGGCACGGTGCAGAAAACTGTAATTCTTACAGCTCTGAAGAGCTCACGCGAAACAGCAAAGAACATCATGATCTAACAAAACAGGACCTGAAATAGATTTTTAAAAATGAAACAGGAGTAAGTAAGAGTCCCCATTGCTCCAGCACGTGCAGCATGCCAGGTCCCCTGCCAGGTCCTTGCACACAGAGCTTCTAAGACGTGCAACTGCCCAGAAAGGCGGGATGATGTGAGGAACCCATGGTCTTCCCTCCAGTTCTTGGCGCTCAGCTTGGGAAGCAAAGCCACGGCCTCTGTTGCAGCCATTCCTGAAGGCACCCAGGAGTCATCCTCCACTCTTCCTTTTCTCTGTCTTTGAATCCCTCATGCCTCTCATTAACCCTGCTCCAGAAAAGTTCTGGAAGCTCTGCTCTTCTCTCCAGTTTCACTACCGCTTTGATGAGCACCCTCCTGCCTTGTGTGGACAATGGCTGCAGCCCCAGCTGGGCTTCCTGCCTCCAACCTTACTCCTCTTGAGTCCCACCGCACCCTTCAGCTGACATACACCAGGGGCCCCAAGGTTTGCCCGTTAAACTTCAAACCCCTCACAGCTCACCACTCCCAGGTGAGTTCCTGCCTGTCCATCCCTCCAGCCTCTGTCCACTCCCAGCACCTGCCTTGCGCTGAGCTCTGCCCCAGGCAATCACACCCTGTCCATCACCAGCAGTCCCCGCCTTCCTGCCTGCACCTCTCATCACTTGGAGAGGAACAGGCCTGCTCCCCGCCCCTTCACCCAGCTGGCGGGTGCCCCTCAGGGGTATGCCTGGGACCCCTCTCGGGAGCTGTTAGGTCTGAGCCAGACGGCCCCCATCATCCTCCTCCCATCACCCCCTAGCCTTCCCTCCTCATGGCAATAACCTCAGCGCATTAGAAGCCTCCCCTGAGCGCTGTCATCTCCTTGAAGATGATCACTGTGTCTCATCTGCCCGTGTACACTCTTGGTCCTGTGTTGGACCTGGCAACAGTGACTATCTGCTGAGTGAGTGGATGTGAATCAGAGTCCACACAGCTTGCTCGCGTGAACTGCCGGATGCTGTGTATACCACACCCTGGTGTGGCGCACACAAGGTACCTGTCCCTTGTCCCTTCCAACCCACCACTTGCCTCTAAAAAAAATGACAGAAGAGGCAGGCCAGAGTCCCACGCAGGTCAAAGGCTGTGCGTTTTTTGAACGATTCTATAGCAAAACTGCATAAAGATCTTATGGACAGAGGAAAGAGAGGCTGAACATTCCAGGCCAACCGATAGGGAGGAAATATCAAATTTCAGAAATTCACACCAAAGGGAAGCTTGATCCACAGCCATGAAACACCATGTACTTTAAACTCGGGCCCATGATCATAACGCCCCTCCCTCACAGGACGTGAATGTCAGCTCTTGCAAAGCTCAGTCTAAGGCAGAGGCCTGTGAACCACGACTCAGGACCAGTCTTGTCTCCTACTGACTCCTCTGGGCCGCCATGAGCTAAGATGTTCTTGCATTTTTAAGTGGGTGGGGGGTGGGTGGGAAAAATGACAAAAGAAGCAACATTTTGTGACATGTGCAAATGAAGTAAGACTTAAGTCTTAGCGTCTGCAAAGTGTCACTGGCATGCAGTCGTGTGACCTATACATGGCCTCCATGGCTGCTTCCGTGTGCCCTGGCAAACCTGCATCCCTGTGTCTCGTCTGTGACAGAGCATCGTGGGCTGCAAAGCTGAGTATTTACAAGCTGGCCCTCCACAGCAAAATCTGCAATGCCCGCCCTAAGTGGCTATCTGGGTTAGCTTTCCCCCCAGCCTTTGGAGATCTGCAAGACCGCAACTTGGCCTCGTCTGTCAGAAAAGGAAACCGAAGACACGAGAAAAGAGCTGGCTTCTGTGTTCCCACTGGGCTGTTCCGGCAGACCCCTGTGGGCTCTCCGAGCTTCAGCCTTGCCCTGGCCTCTCTCAGGTGCATTACCTGAGCTCTCATAGGGCAGCCTCCTTGGCTGAAGTCTATTTAAGCACCTCCTAGTGCTTGCAGCCCTAGGGCTGCATTTGCATGGATGCCGTGTGCTACCCACCGTGCTCACCTCCCGCCTCTTCTGTCACATCAGTGACCCCGCCACCATCCTGCCCTTCCCCTGCAGGCTCTGTGCTGTGCTCTCATCTCCAAGGGTTTGCACGTGTTTCTTCCTCAGCTTAAAAGACCTCCCGGCTCTACCCTCCAACTTGGTTCAAAATAACTGCCACCTTCTGTGGATCTTGTCCCAGTGGCAATACCTGGGAAGGCACCCCGCACCCCTACTTCCTGCTTCCTTCTCTGAGCTCCTGCTGCACCTTCCAAGTATCTCCGTCATCACTTTGCTCACACTGTACGGATGTCATTTATCCGCTTGCTGCTCGCCCACCAGCTGTGTGTGCTGAGGGCTCATTATAAGCCAGACACTGTACTAAGCACTTTCTAGGCATCAGCTCATTAAGTTCTACATTAGCCCCACAAAGTAAGTGGCGTTGCTGTCATTGTTTTAAAGATGGGGGAAACTGAGTACAGAACAGTTGAGTATATTTTTCAGCCTAGAATGAAAGCTTGTCCAAATCTAAAGATGAAGTTCTTAATCGCTAGGCAATGAGGAACTACATATTAATACTAAGCTGCAGTCGATAAATGTTTATTGAAAACTAAATGAATAAATGAAGTCCTGGTGTAATATTGTACATTTACTGACAGTCACTTAGAAAACTACATACATTTATGAGTTTCAATTTCTCTACCTATAAAATGGGGATAATAGCAAGTATTGCAAGATATTTTTTGAAAGAGTAAATGGAAGGCAGTTAAGGGCTTAGCTCAGCTGGCAGACCTAGAGCAGGTATTTCCCCCCTACTCACTGGGGCCACATCTCTGCTTAGCAGGGATGCTGGACCATGGAGGGACAGGAACAGCTGGACAGATGCAGGGATGGGGGGGCTTCCTTACAGAGTGACTAGAGCTGGAGAAGATAAGCGATGGTCTTTGGACAACACAAGAGGAAGGACAGATAGGAAACTGACTCATCTACATTGTGTATATTTATAAACTCCTATTTATGGTCTATTGCAAAACATCAGTGATAGCAGAGTTTACCTAACCGTTTTTGAGCATCTAGAAGGATCCAAGTTTCATCAAGGCCTTTCTAAGTGACAAGGCTCAGGTTGCCTTGTCTATGCGCCCCTCCCCTGCCTAAGATCCTTTGCAGTCACAGGAAACCTTGGTTTCTTCTATTTGTCACTTGGTCCCCCCATCAGACTTTTTTTTTTTTAATGGAGGGGCCATGAGGCTTCTCTCTTAAACATTCCCAGGCTCTGTTCATATGTATATATCAGCCACTCATGAAAACATTAAGATCAAGCAAAGAAAAACAAAGTTCGGAATTCTGAGAGCTGCAGAATTCTCCCCCACCCCCAACACAATAGATATTGACCACAGGGAGGTGGTGATAGGCTAGAGAGGGCATTGGAGCCGATGACCTTGAAGATAAACTCAGGTTTTGTAGCTTTAATATGGTCAAAGACTCACCACACCCTAAAGATTCTTCATCAACTATTACCGGAAAAGAATGATGGGGAGATGTTAACCAGTAGGACACAGAGAACCCTGACAGTGTCCAAGAGAGTCTTATCCAGTCTATGCTATTGACAAGATTCAAAAGGGTGCCAAGGAAATGCCATAAGTTTTGCTGTTAGGTCTATGTAACAATTTGAAGGACCCTGAACTCTAACATTTTTGAGCCTATACTGTTTTTTTTTTTCAAGAATAATAATGATGACCATTGTTAATAATAATGATGACTATTGCTTATCCGGGGCGTCCTATGTGCCAAGCTCTTCTATCATCACATGTTAAAGTCATGTGAATACACAGAGCTGTGACTGGTATACAATGGGTGGTTAAACGTTGTTAACCCCTATCTCCCCCCCCCCCACTTCAACACCACACTGAAACCCCATCAAGAGAAAAATCCACAGCAACTTATTCTCTTTATTTGAAACTCCTGCTTCCAGCTTACCAAAACTTTCTAGTTTCCCTTCTACAAGGAACAAGAGGAAGAAAGGAAGGAAATTAGGAAGAGAAGAAAGAAGTTCAAATAGTTTATTACCTGTTATGTTCTTTACATTTTTTTTGTGTGTATTATCTCAAATAATCAGTTGAAAGAGATGATGGCCTCAGGCTTCAGAGTGAAGTGATAGACTCATAAAGGTCACAGCTTGGCCAGGGTCAAACAGCTAAGTTTGGGATGCAGGATTGAATCCAAGTGTGTCTGATTCCCCATTATTCCACGTGACTTCCTAAGAAAATTTTAAGACAGCACCTTCCACATAGAATTGCATCAAAAGCAACAGGGAGGGTGGGCAATAGCCACCTTCCATCTGATTCAGACAATGCCTACATCTCACTTGACTTCCACACCATCCATAACCTGTTATTCTTGTGGCTAAGGAAGTCGAAGCTACCTCACTCCCCTTCTTATCCCCAGTGTTAGAATTTGTAAAATGAGGGCATCTCACTGGAGAATGTCTATTTATTGTCCCTGCCAGTCCCTGCAGGGGTGAGAATCTATTACAGGGAGAGGAGAGAAAAATTCTGGATGAAATGTGCAACCTCAGGCTGAGCCATCGTGAGAACAAGTCCTGTTTACAAAAGACCATCGCCCATGCCTCTTGCCTGTTGCCAGTGGGATGTCGGCTTTAGCCCATCACTCCCTCTGGGCAGGATGGAACCACAGCGACACCAGCTCCTATCTCGTGCCTCATTATTCTGGAGTTCAGCTTTTAGCACCTAACTCCGAGAGGGTTGTTTTAATGGATCGTTAGAGTGTTTACTAGATTAAAACAATGGCTGTCTTCTGCAAAACAGCTCTGCAAATGGCTTTATGGGTTTCCGGATTTATTTT